TTCTAATTCTAAGGATTTTGCTTCTAACTCGATCTCTAATGGGATAATGGGCTATTGTCCATCTACAGTTGTTTGTCAACTTTGTTTTAGTCCAGGTCACACTGTTGCGTCTTGTTCCCGTTTTCTTTCTCAAGGGGGTACTCCAAGTTCAGTTTCAAGTCCTCACACTGCTCTATCATTTGCTGCTATGTGTCATGGCGATGCTAATGAGGCCTTGTGGTATCCAGATTCCGTCGCGTCTCTCATATGACACTGTTTGAAGGTATATTATCTTGAAAGACTCCTTATACTGGTCAAACTGAAGTCCTGGTAGGAAACAGTAATCTTTTACCTATTGCTAATATTGGTGATGCACATTTAAATTCTTCTGCCACATCGCTTCATCTTAATTCTGTGTTTCATGTTCCTAAGTTAAAACATAATTTAATATCTGTGAAACGCTTATGTGATGATAATAATTGTGTGGTTAATTTTGACTTCTCTTCTGTGCATGTTAAGGACAAAACCATGGGGTAAACCATGGGGTATGTTCTTCTTCAGGGTTCCAGTAGAAACAGTGTCTACCAACTTTCCTCTTCCATTGAGTTTGATTCTGCCACAGCTCTCGTTTCTCTGACTGGTAAAGGAGATATATAGCATCATCGCGTAGGTAATTGTGGTAGTCGTGTCTTAAATCAGCTTAGGTCCAATAATGCCCTTGCGACGGCAACAAACTTTGAGAATAATTGTGTTTTATGTAAACTTGGAAAATCGCATCGATTACCTTTTTGTAATGTTGAGCATTGCTATAGTACTCCTTTATATTTGATTCATTCAGATGTTTGGCAATCACCAATTCCGTCTAATTTGGGTTTTTGATATTATGTTTGTTTTGTCGATGATTATACTCGATTTACTTGGATATATATCCTACAAAATTAAAATCAGAAGTTTTTACTCATTTTTGTCACTTTCAAAAGTTGATTGAAAACTTGTTCTCTTATAAAATTCGGATGTTTTAGTGTGATGGTGGTAAAGAATTTGATAACAAAGCTTTTAAACAACTGTTTCTAGAAAATGAGATTTATTTTCACAAGTCGTGCCCTGATCCGCCACAACAAAATTGCGTGGTTGAGCGCAAACATCGGCACATTGTTGATGAGATGACACATACTTTTTTGATTGATACTCAGACTTATTTTTGGGTTGATGTTGTCTATACGGCTGTTTTTGTGATTAATCAATTATCTACTCCTGTTTTAGATGGTATCTCTCCTTAACAACGACTTTTTAAAAAGAAACCTGAATATGACTTTCTTCGAGTTTTTGGTTGTGAATGTTTTCCAAATATTTCGGCTCAGGTTACCAACAAATTTCAACCTCATTCTATACGTTGTATTTCTTAGGTTATGCTCCTCATTATAAAGGTTATCGTTGCTTTGATCCGATTACAGGTCGTGTCTATGTTAGTCGTCATGTTCGATTTCATGAGTCTATATTTCTCTACTCCACCTTTGTTGTTAACAAGTCACCTGATTCGTCTCCTCTTTTGTTTGTCACAAGTTCAGCCTTGTGTCCATCTACTTCTCCTCTGGAGTCCTCTCTCTCTCTTTCTCTCCACATTTCTTGACATCTAGCGTCTCCCCTGTGTCATCTCCTACCCACTTGAGTTCTCCTGCATCAGTTCCAGTGCATTCTCTGTCGTCACACACAACACCATTGCGCTCGTTGTCTGAACCTTCCTCAGCTTGTCCGTCACCCCCAACCCTGGCTGCCCATGCTGGTTCTCCTGCTGCTAGTGCATCACTGTTGGCTGCTCCATTGCTACCAGCTCTTCCAACCGCAGGTGCTGCACAGCCCTTGGTGCTGCGCGCCGCCAGGTTCTCCAGCAACTGTCGTGGCTGATTTCTCTCGGCCACAGGAGCTATAGGCAGCACCGATTTCTACTCTAGACGTGCCTATTCCTCTAGTGTTTTTGAGACGACCTCCTCTCCTCTATCACGCGAGCTTCAACCTATCACTTCTCATCCACACCCTATGCAGACTCGCTCTAAGGCGGGTATTTTGAAACCACGTCATATATTATCATTGCATACAACATTCCTTGCCTTTGAACCATCAAATTTTACACAGGCTTCGAAAGATAAATCATGGAAAAATGCAATGGCAGAAGAATTTAATACACTCATCACTAATAACACTTGGAAATCAGTTCTGTTTGATGAACGGAAAATTTTGGTTGGTTGTAAGTGGGTTTACAAGATAAAATTCAGATGGTTCTATTTAGCAGTACAAAGCTCGTTTAGTTTCTCAGGGTTTTCATCAGCAAGCTGGTATTGATATTAATGAACCTTTCAGTCTTGTTGTCAAACCTACCATTATTCGTCTTGCACTGTCGTTGGTTATTTCTTTTGGTTGGGTTATTCGACAACTTGATGTTAAAAATGTCTTTCGGCATGGTCTTCTAACTGAGGAGGTATACATGAACATGAAACAACCTCTTGGTTTTGCTCATCCGGATTTTCCAAATCATGTTTGCAAACTTAATAAAGCCATTTATGGTCTCAAGCAGGCTCCTCGTGCTTGGTTTTCACCGCTTTAGTAGTTTTCTTTTATCCCTTGGCTTCCACTACAACAAAATTGATTCCTCCATGTTTGTTCATCCTAGAGGCTCTGATATTATTATTATTCTTTTGTATGTTGATGACAAATGTTCTTACAGGCAACTCTCCTTCTCTCATTCGTCGTTTTATTGGCTTATTATCTGATCAATCTGTCATGAAAGACATTGGTGATATTCATTATTTTTTGGGAGTTCAAGTAACTCGTACGCCTGACATTCTATTCTTGTCTCACCATAAATATGTTCAGGACCTCTTACGTAGATTTCATTTGCACACTCTTACTCCCCTGCGTACACCCATTGCTGCTAAGACTAATTTATCCCTTAATGATGGTGAGTTATTAGCAAATCACCCTATATATAGGAGCATGGTTGGTGCTTTACAATATCTTATAATTACAAGGCCTGATATTGCATTTGTTGCTCATGTTGTTTCCCAGTTTATGCATGCTCCCCGTACCGCTCACCTCCTAGCTGTCAAAAGAGTTTACAGTTTATGCATGCTCCCCGTACCGCTCACCTCCTTGCTATCAAAAGAGTTTACAGATATTTGCAGGGCACGTCTGATCATGGTTTCTCTCTTTGGAAGGCAATTGGACCGACCCGTGTCATTGCTCATTCTGGTGTCATTGCCCATTCTAACGCTGATTGGGCTGGTTGTCCTGACAACTCACGCTCCACCTCTGGCTATGCGTTGTCTATGCGTTGTTCTTTGGCCCAAATTTCATTTCTTGGCGTTCCAAGAAGCAACCAACCATCTCGAAGTCCTCAACGGAGGCTGAATATCGCGCCTGTGAATACACCGTTGCTGAGACGCTATGGCTTAAGCACCTCTTGGTTGAGCTCGGAATTGTCCTTCGCCATCCTGTGACACTTTTCTGTGACAATATCAGTGCCACCTATATCACGGCGAATCCAGTTCTTCATGACTGTAGCAAGCATATCAAGGTCGATTATCACTTTGTCCGGGAGAGGGTTGCTCATGGTGATTTGGTTGTTCGATATGTTCCACATAGCTTCAGCTTGAAGATATTTTTACTAAGGGATTATCTTCTCAGAGATTTCTCTTTCTAAAGAACAATCTCTCCATGTGTATTCCACCCCGTCTAGATGGTGGGGGGGAGCGGGGGAATAAAGCAATTGTAATACATAAAGGGTATATATGTAATTCTGTAAATTACCTCATATAAATACAGATATCGGCTCCTCTGTTAGGGTATGCCGAAACCCTAATTCCTTCGCCATCTCTCTTCTCTTCTTCATAATATCTCACATGGTATTAGAGCTCTTGTAAAACCCTAGTCATATTTCTCCTGAAAGTACTATTCATCGCCCGAGAGCACTGTTCATCGATACGGGTACTGTTCAGCCAAGAGCGCTCTGAAATCGTAGCAATCCCAACAACTCATGACGTTCTCAGCATCATCCTCCATAATTTCATCTTTGACTTCATTTTCCTCGAGTACAACCACCACCTCAACTTCGACTTCATCTTCTTTGAGCTTCTCAGGGAATCCGACTTCCTCCTCCCCTGTTTCTTCCACATTGATCCCGAAAACTCCAATTCCATCTCTGACCTCGACGGCTCCAATTCCATCAGGCAATCTGATTTCGACTACATCGATCCCGCTCTCCTATGTTTTTTCTGAGACCACTTAACCATTCACGACTTCAATACCTTTGTCGATGCCTCCCACACCCTCCATCGGCGAATCAAACCCTCTATTCTCTCTTTTGCACAATCAACAGACGTTCCCCACATCCACAACAATGTTTTGGATGCTGTCACAGTCAGTTCTTCCTCGTGCCATGTTCCTGTCGTCCACACCAATCATAGGGATTGATCAATTAAATTCTGGACTTCATGACTTTGGTGGCCTTATTCCCTCCATGCCCAATTCAAGTCTGTTCTTTTCTTCGGCTTTGGTGGCGCCTAATGTCATGAATCACGTTACGGTTAAACTGAAGACTGCTAAAGATTATCTAACCTGGAAAACACAATGGGAATAAGCAAATATAACATAGGAGATCTATTTGCAATTAACCCTATGAAATAGCCAATGGATAAGAGATGGAACTTAAAAGCTCATCAAGTTGTTGCCTAAGATATTAATTCAAGACTATCTCAGATAAGACAGTGAGAACAAGATTTTGAATCTTTGATCCTTCTTCCCAGTGCTAAAAGCGACCAAGGGTCACATGCAAATCAAAGTGATTCATTGAGAAAGTGATTCATTGAGATTGTTACATTGGTTATCCATACAAAATGACAATTTCCAACAACCATGTTGCTAATTAAAAATTGGATTACAACGTTTAGTACTGTAACTTTATTTCTCGTCAACCAAATAGCATCCTTAATCACCACAGAAGGATCCAAATCCAAAGATATTAAGACTACCAAACTAACAAAGTAACATTAAGAGTATGCCTGTTTCACTGTTACATAATATGAATCCACAAAATCAAGTTTTAGCTATAACCATACCTTATTCATTTATTGCAGCCGAACCTGACTCGAGTCAAAATGAAAGTACATAATATCTGAAAACAAACCTTCAAGTTCCAGCCGCAGAAGTCCTTAAGCTTTCCTTCTCTTAAGTATTTGGCCTGAACTCATTAGATTCCGACTGCTATAGAGAACTTTTGCTTGGGAAAATCTCTGTAACTGGAAGGCAAGGAAGCATCCCAAATAAATAAATATATTTTAATGG